ACACACACACAGAAACGATGCATTTAATCACAATTGGGGCATGTACACAAACACATACACACACAAACACAAATGCACAGAAATACTGCATTGACACCACTATAAATACTACACAACATAAAGGACACTCTGAGCAGACCACAGGCCCATTAACTCTACTGACCTTTTTCATAAAGAGCAGGTCAAGCCTTGAGTCCATTTTGATCGACAGATGCAGACTCCCGATGTCCTTGGGGATTCTGTGTACAAATGAAATAGAAAACAACCAGACATTTACACTCTGGTCAGTCTGTTTGCGTATGCAAAATCTCAAGGTTTATTGAGTAAAAAGAAGCACATTGATACAATTACAGTCACTTAGGGTAAGGAAGAGAGAGAGAGAGAGAGAGAGAGAGAGAGAGAGAGAGAGAGGACCCATGGCATCCTCCAACCACCTGTTAACTCAAGGCAGTATGTCAATTTGAAAAAGACAAAAGAAAAGAAACTCAATCTTTTCAATTCAGAGAATAACATTTTGTGACAAGTTTGTTTAAAAAGTTGTTTAACAGCACTATCTAAACAATGTGATCAACTTAGTTACTAGATGTAGAGATTTATTAAGAAATACATACGCATATAAAAAGTGTCCCTCTTTCTGCAGACTACTCACAAAATTTGCCTCAATTTCTGCGAGTTTCCATGGCGATCCAGTAACGTGTGCAGGATTTCCTGAACTATGAGTCTCATCCCAGGGTCATCGACCAGCGAGATGCGCAGCAGGGGGTGGAGGAACTCAGGGGGGAATGCCTGGGACAGGTGCACTGTCTTATACTTGGTGGCCACCTGGTGGAGGATGATGACACATCCAACACGTCACAATGGAGTAAAAGAGGGTATGTGAGTATGTGTGTGTGCGTGTCTGTGGGCGAGTGTGTGAGAGAGCGTGTGTGTGTGCAAGTGTGTGTGAGAGTGTATGAATGTGTGTGTGCGTGGTCAGTGCAGTGATTAAGTGTGTGTGCGTGTGTGTGTGCGTGTGTGTGTGTGTGTGTGTGTGTGTGTG